ATCAATTTAATCTGGACTCTCACAGTTAGTCGAACGTACACACGATATTTGTCATACTTTCGAAAATGTTTCGTTGAGAAATTTACTCTTTCAACGATCGAGTAATCTCTACCATTAACGAATGGTTAATTTTTCACGTGTTGATAAAGTTTAATGACGAGCTGGATTCGCAATTCCATGCAAATTTATCGCGCTTTTTATACAGAGTTATAACTTAACAACAAACACGGTTAATAAATACATAACTTGTGAAATAGAAATGAACTTGAAATTATTAATTATTCCATTAAAATCTTTGTATACTTTTAATATATTATTCTAGTCAGTAATACTTGTAACGATATTACTAGAGATAACAGATATTATATTCAATACTTTACAATTCATTACTCTAAAATATTTAATTATCATAATAATATTCTTTATTTCTTACAACTAATCTCCAATTAATATTTTCTACAATCTTACAATCTTCTATTTCTTTTATTTCTTATTTCGTATTACCATAACCTCCAATTTACAATCGCGTAAATAATTTCATTTCATATTTCCATTTCCAGACACGTGACTTTCGAACAAACACTATTTCTAATTTAAACACAAAAAAAGAAAGTAAAAATATACAGATCCACGCGTAAAGTATCCCGAAACAATGCGAGAAACCGTCAAAAAGAATCGACCGAAAATTCAACAAAGCGTAAATTCGCGATAAAAGTTTCGCGTGTTGCGAGCCAGCCACTCGCGAAAGGCGGGAACATTTGAAACGTCGAATAGAACGAAAAGTCACGCGTAAAGTCTTTCCTCGAGTAAATTTTCAAAGAAGTGGAAGAAGGTATATACGATATAGATTGTTGGACAGCGGAGGAAAGACAGAAGAGGAGTGCGTGTGTTCCCACGGTGGTGAAGTATTTATTTCTAAGAGAACACGATATTGACCGCAACTGGGGACGCGCAGAGCGCGTGGTGGACAATTTATTGGACAATTCATGGGCTGTACTTACGTTGTTCAACGTTCACGTGTGCGATCGGTATACGTGTTACGACACGTGTATGTACACGTTTTCATCGTTGGCACTGGACAGAATGCAGAGAATGCAGAGCGTGTTTGAAGTTTGCCCTTCGACCGGATCCTTGCCCCGCTTTGCAGCAAGGAAAAATACAACACGAAAACCTGTTGCCTTACGCTTCGTGGAAGAAAGCGGGTGTCGAATAATAAATATTTCAAATATTGTTAAATTATTATTGGATTGTATTCGGTTTAAATAAAATAATGTTTGAAAGAGAGAAAAAAATTCCACGAGGGAAGTAAAATATTTTCATTCAAACAATTTGAACAAAATAGAAACGAAATAGAAAGAAGGTATTGAAAAAAAATTAAGTTGATAGATAATGTAAGAGATATTTTTGTAGAAAAATTATACAGTATCGAATAATTGTATTGAATTCGAATCATTACATTCAATGATAATATTTAAAGTAAAGGAAATGAATTAGAGTGAATAAAATAACTCGAAACAAAATCCAAATACTTTCAAATAATGTTTTAAAAATTTATCAAATAAAATATTTTATTTTTGAAATTATATACTTTATGTATATTATAAATTATTTATTTTAATAGAATTATTTATTATTTAAAATAATATTTTATTCAGCTCTAAAGAGAAAACCTGTAAAACAATATGAATTTATAATAATATTGATATTTTGTTGTTTATTAATATATATTTATCAATATAAAATGTATTTATTAATTTTTTATTTTTTTTTCATCAATGTTAATATTTTGAGTTTTGCTTGAATCCTAAGTAAATATAACGTTTTGTTAAAAAAGTTGATAAAAGATTTACTGCCTGCAGACAAAAAATGCGAGATAAGAAAAGCAATAAATTGTACTATAAAATATCGTTCCTTAAAAATTTATGGATAAAGTTGTGAAATGTTTATATCGATTTGCCACGAATGGCATTCTTCTTTAGATAAATGCTTTCCATTATTTGGAGATTGGATTCGTATTCTATCAGTCTAATGAATTTTTTTCTTGGAAATTAATATTCGAAGGTATTTGCTTCTTATGGATTCGTAAAATTTTAAAACTGATTGAAAAATGATGATGTTACGAAGAAATTGAAATATTTATCTCTTATTTTATTCTCGTTCGAAGAAATTTAAATTTCTAAAAAAGGATAAAAAATAAAGGATCTCGAAATTAGAAATAAAATTTTTTTAACTCTAAAATATTTAATCCCACGTTAAATAAATAATGAATAAAATAATAGAAATTAAGAAGAAATAAATTATTATTCCAATATTTACAATTTGAAAGAAAGTGATACAAGTATTTTTCAAAAGATATCATTTAAGATTAATCCTCATGTTGAAAGAAATTAAGAAATAGTTAGTTTTATATCCAGTTTGAAAGTTTGCAAAAAGTTTATTTATGATAATTCTCACGAGTAAGAATCATTTTATATTTTAATTTAAAGTTTCAAAGAAGTTTTAATTAAACGGGACAAACAAAATACCATAAAAATTTATGTATGTATAAATAATATAAAAAATAATCAAGATAAAAAACAATATATCTCTTAATGAAGAAAATAATAAATTGAATAACAACACTCCACTCCTTAATTTTTTTTCCCTTTAAGACACTTCGAGATATCGATCCAACTTGATTTAACGATACCCTTGTGAATTTAAACGTTAAAAAAGGAAACACAGAATCACGAGAAGAAATAAAGAGGAGGCAAAAAGGAGAGAGATTGTTCAATCATGAACTCTAATCAACTGGTTAAATGCAGTCATCCAATGAACTAGGTCGAATTAAAACTTTGTTGTATCGTAACCGCAGGAGCTTGATAACAGATTGAATTTGTCCTGTTTTAACGAGAACTGTAAGCCTATAATATATTCAAACAAACATTGAAATGCAGCACAAAATTGTTAAGTTGATTTAGAAACGATACAGAAAATTATTCCATGAAATTAATATTTATCTATAATACGCTTACATTACTCTGTAATTGTATTAGAGAAAACATATATATGTAAAAATAAAGTATTGTTTTTGAAAGATAAGAAATATTAATAATTAAAAAAATTGTATTAAAAATTAACTTTGATTGTTAAAACGTTTTATTTCGTTAGACTCGTAACTGCAATTGGAGACGCCTATGGTGTAGCTTTACTGCTACATATGTTGACTACCACTATTACGTTAACTTTGCTCGCTTACCAAGCAACAAAGGTAATTTTTATGTACATAAAGTATCGAGACACAAAGTAAAATATATCTTAAAATTAGAAGGATTCTATTATTCTAAGTGTTATATATTAACAAAAAAAAAAAAAAATTTAAAATATTTTATCTTCTAGATACACGCAGTAGATACATACGCAGCATCAGTAGTAGGTTATTTGTTGTATTCTTTAGGGCAAGTTTTTATGCTCTGTATATTTGGAAATCGTCTCATTGAGGAGGTATGTATATACGATTATTTTTACAATTTTTAATCGCGTGAAACACAATTATTTAACAGTTTAAAAATTATATGATTTAACATTGTATTCCATATACAGAGCTCGTCAGTGATGGAAGCAGCTTATTCTTGTCACTGGTACGATGGATCAGAAGAGGCCAAAACCTTTGTACAGATTGTTTGTCAACAGTGCCAGAAGGCGATGTCGATTTCAGGGGCGAAGTTCTTCACTGTATCTTTGGATCTCTTCGCTTCGGTAACGAAAAATCTTTTTTTCACGCATTAAATTCGATAATTCATGTTGTTCAACAAATTTCAATTTTCAATTTTTGGATAAAACTCGTATTTGTTTAAAATATCGTTATAGAATACGATTACTTGGTATTAATCAAGACCCTTGAATATATTAAAATTCCCTAGAATATCCCTAAAATATAAAATCCTAGATATTTTTAAGAAATTTTCAAGTTCTTGATACCTTGGATTCTCATACGTTCTGATAATTATGTAATAATTACAAAACTTCCTAGAAAATCCCTAGAATGTAAAATCCTGGATATTCTTTTAGATTTTGGAAATATGCAACGAGAAAATTAAAATTTGATGATCTCTTTTATGAATCATGATTCATAGATTAAAAATCACTGATATATAATATAATATAATTGAAGAATTTAGTTGAATTATAAATAATTTTTTCAAAATATCGATTATAATGATTGATTAATAAGAATAATTAATAACAGGTATTGGGAGCTATGGTTACTTACTTTATGGTGTTGGTACAACTGAAGTGAACATTGAAGAATATTCACTTTAGTGAATTGAAAGTTGGAACGATGATCGAATACGTGATCGAAACGATCATCGGACAGGAGTCTCGTTCTTCGTGTTTCATCGTTTTAAATGTTCGATTTTTGTATGGATTCAGCTGGAAACTGTGACTAAATGACAATGTAGAATTATAAATTCTAACGATGAGTATCCTTTGTTTTTATCTATTTTTCAACAATTGAAATCTTTGCAATACATCTAGTTCCAATGGAAAATTTTGAATAATTATAAGTCGATAAATATTTGACAATAAAAATTATTTAAACACAAAGGATACTCTGAAAATTATAGATATTAAGTGTAAAATGAAGCTGTGCTCGTTAACGTACCTTTTTCTTTATCACTTTACTAAGTAATATTAGTAATTAAGTAATATTAATTTAATTATAAAATATTAATTATTACAATAATATATACTAAAAAAAAAAAAATAGGAATTATATTGTTTCATAATTTTAATTTTAAAACTATAAAAATAATTTTTATTTTATTAATTAAATTTTATTTCTGAAAAAAGAAAAAATAAAAGAGAAAATGGAAAAAAAGCGAAATTAAGATATATCTATATTTACGTAATTAATAAGACAAATATTTAAATAAAAAAGAAATTCTAATCAAACATAGCTAATCAAACATAGATGAAAGACTGAAAAGTACAAATGAACGAATTAATAAAAATTAATGATAATAAAAAAAAAAACGGATTCTGGTAACGTTTAAAAAATAAAATTTTCGTGCAGTCTTTATGGCAAATTCGGTCGTCGCTCCATTTTTCTTTAATTATGAATTACTACCTAGAAAACTCATGTTATCGTTGTCAGAATATTTTAATACTCTACTTTCTGTAGAAAAGAAAATTTAAATTATTATAAAAATACTTTTTTATCGCAATACAAATTTTAATATTAATAAATTGAATTGAATTATTTTATCTCTAAAAATAACATATTCGACAATGTTAAATTAATCACATCTCAATAGTAGGTATTTATTAAATTCTCCTAGGTCAATGGATTAATAATTACCCATAATCTATGTTTTATCGATGAAAAGCGAAGCTTATTAATCGAATAAGCAAGATCAACGATAATACAATGAATCGAAGCGTAAAATAATGATTCGTTCAGCTGATGTGAAAACTTTAATCATCTCAAAAAATATCAATACATTCTAAAGTGAGTTTTTTTTTTTTCTTACCATTCTTGATTATTTTGTACATCTTTTAATAACTTTATCCCTTTTTCTTAGAAAAAAAAAGTTACAAATTTATAATTCAACATTTTCAAAGAATTAATTTTTATCACCGAAGAAATAAAAAGAAATAAGAATACAAAGAATACAAATATTTTTTACGAATATTAATAGCTTTACGTTGGAATTAAAAAATAATATTTATAACCTGTAATAAGTTTTAAAGTGAGGTTAGGTTTAGTAAGTAAGCTGCACTCAACGCAAAAAAAAAAAAAAAAAAAAGGAAAAAAAAATCAAACGGGAAATATTACGCTGAAAAATAATCTTGTACAATATACTGTGATGCAATTGCTGAAAGGATAAAGATGCAAGAAGCGATATATTACGAGTAAATTCTCGCGTTACGAACGAAATATCGAAATAACGAAAATATAATATTATGAATCATCGAATGATAATCAAAACTTGCGTCTTGATTTTTTGAAGTAATTTTAACAGAAATAGATAAAACAATTTTATTGACATGTAAATATATATACACTGTTATTTCTTATTTTAACTTATATTACTTCTTCGAATTATATCTATAATTCGAAATCTTTGCTTCAATTTTTCGAATTTAATATCTCAACCCTTTATTATACTCTGTTCATTTATAGAACGATTCTTGCAAATTTTTTTCATTCTATTCCTTTCGTATATCAATCTCTGTTAATTACAAATTTGTACAAAATTCCAACGAAATCGTAAAATTGTTCGTCTCGTTTCTCTCTCGTATCATAGAATTTAAGGTTCTTCATCTACTTGTGCACGGCACCTCCTCTCCGCCAATTAATTAATAAAAATATATACAAATTTTCCAGCACAAATATTTCATATTTCACGGGAAACAAATGAAACATAATTTTTTTCTAAGCGTACAGCATAGAATCTACGAGAATGTAATAATTTTGTTACATAAGTTTAATAATGATACGTAATAAATAAATAAATATTAGTGTACAATTTTTAAACGTAAATTTTTCGTGCTACTCGTAAATATGGAATAATTTATTTCCACGTGTAATTTTAAGCAATAAAAAAAAAAAAAAAAAACAAAATGTTATCGAAATGCGTTTAATCTAACATGAACGTTAATAGGTACTATATATATATAATCATATTGTGAATCGAATCAGTCAGTATTATAAATGATTTCTCTCTATGTAAAGCAATAATATATATTTGTCTTATAAAACGTTCCAAGATGTTCGTTCTTTCGTTCCAAAATATTTTTATATCAAATTATACAACAACAAATTATACATTCACGAAGCTTAATTTTATATATATTTATCTAAAATTTCGATCTTGCAAATCTGTAAAATGTCGAAAGAAAATTTTTCTTGAAATTTTCACAACACAACTCTCCTTCCTTATTTCTCTTTTCGAAAGCTCTTAACCTAAATTAATTTCTTCATCCGCAAAATATATTTTTAAAATTCCAATTCTTCGAATCAAGAAAGAAAAGATATTTTAAATCTCACTCTTTTCGAAGTATATAAAAGTTCCCAATTTTTCAAATCCATAAAATTTCATCAAAAAAAGAAAACTTCCTCTTCCAAAATCTTCTCCATTTAATCTCTTTCCAAATATATTTTTCCTCAAAATCTCAAATTCTTGCAAATCCATCACAATCCATCCCCCGTCTTTAAAACCCTCACCTCCACTGTTTTCGCCCCGATGTCGAATCTCCTTTCGAAAATCAGAGGAGCCACTCGACTTTCTCGCCACGTTCACGACTCGTCTCTGCGATGTAACGAACTTGAATACGATTTGCAAAAAGGTGATCCTTCGCAAGGATTCGCTTTAAAAACGTGTACCAAATTTTCTCGAATCGTGGGTGGCAAAGGCTTGTCTGTGTAACGATGGTTAATTGAGACGAACTACAACCAGCGGAATTAATCCCTGGAGAATTCCATCCTTTAGGGGCGGCCATCTGGCGAATTTCACCTGCAATTTGGAATTTTCGAAATAGATATATTCGACGTAAAGTCTTGTTAAAATTTTAAACAACGGTGATCGACTGTGAAATTTATTTTCTTTTTTTATCGTGGAAATGAATTATTGGCTTCTATTTTTTTTTTTTTTTATTCTATAATTGAAGCGATGAAGAAATGAAGGCTTGAATTTTTCACAGAGAGAATTCTTTTTAAAGGGAAATGATTAATGTTCGATGTTCCATCCAGTTTAAAAATAATCATAAAGGAATGTGATGCAATATGATGAGAATAAATATATGGAGAATTCATTATCAAATGTTTGTGAATGAATGAAAGATTGAGTATTTTTAATCTTGTTCAAAATATCGATATATTTTTACGTATACGGAGTTTTCTATATATTCGTGAAAAATGAAACAATTTTTAAAAATTCCATTTCTTATACCACCATGTCGATAACGATTGATGTAAAGTTCTGATGGATAAGTGAGAAGTAAGTTCTGAATTTAGCCTGTTACTGGATGATAAATGTTCCTTCTTACTTTTATATAGTCCAACAACATATTTCACGATAGAAGATATATTTAAAATTTAATGAAATAAATTGTTCACTGATAATTTCCAAAATATATAAAAACAATTGTTACAAATATTTGCAAGTATATTCTATAAAATTTATTTTATTCGATCGAAACCGATCATTATTTTTACCTTTAATCGAGTAAATATTTTTAATTCATTACGATCCATCGATTTTTACATAAAAAGATTTTGCACTTAAAAGATTAGCAATAGAAGAAAATTCACCTTGGAGAGAGTGGATATTAAAAATAGAAGAAACAGGTGAATCGATACGACTTTATTGTTTAACATAAATCCTTACGTGATTGTTTAATGCGCATGCCCATTCAGAGTGTGGCTTTACCGGAAAGCAGTTTCGATCGGCTGGGCCTCGTCGTATGATAAATAGGTCTTCCTGTTCTACAGCATCCTTCCTTTCTTTAAACATAAGATATATATGTATATATATGAATATGAGCAGCTATCCAGTTTCGAGATATAATATCACAGGGAAAGGGAATTAAAGTTGAGATGAACTTTGTTATTCTACAAGAATTATAAAAGATAAAAATCAAGTTTTCATTTTAAACTCCTAAAATCTCAAACTTAAAGTATTTAAATCTAAATTTAAGATGTTAAATGAAATTTTATAAATTTTTTTTCATCTATTATTTTTTATTTTAATTTTTAAATATATTTTAATTTGTCCTTTTTTTTTTTATTTTTACGCATTTTAATTTTGTAGAAAAATTCCATATGTATATTTTACATATATCTATTTATACCGCTGTTACGTAGTAAAGTTTACATTAAATCAGTATTCACAAATACCACTTATCGTTACGACGAAATTAAATGTAAATGGCGAAGAATTAAGAACGTAGTTCAGAACTTTTACGACAATAAATTCATTCTCGTGGAAAGATATAGCTGCAGGAATATAGTAGACTGTAGTGTCTTCCGAATCATTAAGATTCAACCCAAGAGAATACGAGCATGGAAGCATAAAAGATTATGAGCAACAACCTCGCTTATTTCAATAAATAAAATGCACATTTTACTTTAAATAAAGCAGCTATATATTCATCCAAAACATCTATTTGAAATCTACAATAATAATTAAAATTTTAAATAAAACGTAAGTTCAATAAAATCCTATCGATATATCCCTCGATTGATTAAAATACATATTCCACTCTTAATCTTTAGAAAATCACGAATAAAATTATGAAAAAAAAGAGAATTATTAGATATATATTATCGCAAGCAAGCAGAATCTCAGGAGTCAATGTGACGGAAAGAAATTGGCGCGAAGTCCAATTGACGCATGCGCAGAATCAGAGTGACTCTGTCGGTAGTTTCGATCGTCCAGGGGTCGACATCGTCGTCCACCAAACAGCTTATCCTCGTGCTCTCGTGATGCTGCTCGTGCTTCTCCGTTTTCCACCTCGTTCTTTCGTTTTGTGATAGAACGTGTTCCATTTTCCGCGCGATCGCGATTCGCAATAATCTAGTCGATCAAGAACGAGACGTGATTTACGGTAATACCATCGCGATAACGCGAGACAACGAGTTAAACATACATCTGTGTTTCGCACGAGACACGTCCACAGATGAAAACGCACGAGATGCCCCCCAGACCAGTGGACTCGCTCGACTCGCACTCTATCGACGCGATTCAACGTGATAACTTATGCAGATTATTACCGACGATCTCGTAATCGAGGCGGCCACGCGACTGCAAACGACATTATCGTCGCGTGCCCACAATATTTTTTCAAGAAATCGGTCGATCGGTTTTGTTCAACGTCAGTAAATCAATTTAACAAAAATCACAGTGTATAAGCGGTGGAAGAATTTCTCAATCGATTTATATACGGAAAAAATTACGGTACGTGGTCAAGTGATCGTGCAAGTCATTGCAAGAAATAGGTTAATAGTGTGCCGCGCGAGCGAACGCGCATTTGAAGATTGAGCAAAACAGGTGGATCGTTTCATCGAATGAAAAGTGATCATTTGAATACGAGAAAGATCGATGAAAGATAGTTTGGCAATGATGATGGATAAGACTCGTGCCGCGTATCATCGTGAGGCATTACATAACCGCTACACAACGATGAAAAATTATTTCGGGCAGTATATCGGCAAAGGGTCGATAAAAATGAAAGCCACGAATGCGGTTTCTTAAATAGCGCAATAGCTGTATCTCTCTGTGCCTGACAATAAATCAATGGATCGCTAGGCATGCAATTAGATTAATTAAATTGTGGATATATATATATATACACACATAGTATTTTCAATTTGTTTCATAGCTGAAATAAATAGATGAATATAATCGTGCTAACTAACACGATAAAAATAACTAGGTGAAATATAGTGTAAAATTTAAATTACGTTCGATTAATAACGCCGAAGTTAAATAAAGAAGTTAATTGGGATCGATGTAAAACGACACACCGTTCTGATAAATAAGTGAGATCGAAGTAATAGAATATATTTTCTATCAGTGACGGTATTCGTTTTAAAGTGATATATCGTGTAACGTTGATTTGCTCAACTATTTTTACGCGAGGTAATTAGTAAGAAGTTTCTTGTGGAACACCGATAATCATAGGGACAAAAACTGCGAGCGGCAGGAGGAGGCGAAGCCTCCCGCCGCAAAAACAATGTCGTAAGTATTGTCACATTGTATTTAAAATATTTAATTAATTTACGATAAATTTTTCCATATATTATTATACACGTAATAGTTGAATCATTAAAATATAAAATAATTTTATTTTAAAATTATAGAATTGAAATTAATTGAAGAAACAATTTATTTTTAATTTGTAATAATCGCTTTGATATTTAATTCCATTTTGAGATGTATCATTGGAATTTTTATTTTTTGAAATATGGGGACACACCATAATTGAATAATTTAAATAGAAAAAAACAAGATAAATTTAATAACGCTTTATAATCCATTGCTTTTGTTAATAAACTTTTCGATCATGCAAATGATTAATTCAGCATTTCAAAATCAAAAATTTTTCAACAGAATTAACAATTTTTCATCACTTTTCATAACTTAATTACTGATAAGTTTAAAATTTTGAAGAGCATAAAATTCAATAGCAAACGATTTCAAAATTGTACGATCATACGAAACCAATCTACTACAATAAAGCTGATGTTAGATATACTGAACATAAAAGGAATCGTTCTAAACACGTGAAAATTGATATAGAATGCACCGGATAGATGATATAGGATTCAAATACTGATTCATAAAAACTTTATTATAATTACAATTATCTATAAAATTGAATTGAAACTATTTAAAGTTATCTAAAGTCTGATTGTTATGAGATCCTAATAATTACATAAAGAACATAAAGAACAGTTGAACATTAACAAATTAGAAGATTCTCCAATTTATCTAAGAATCTTGGTTCTGTCCAAAAGATCTGATCACACAACTATGCCTGGAATGCATACTGGGGTACCACAGGACTTTGAAATTTACTATAAACTATTTCACATTATATTCATAATGTTGAGAAAGTAACCACACATACCTTGAAGTTGTGCAACAAACCAACAAACATAATCTCTAAAATCTTGAAATCCAATTTGGATCATCTTTGAATCCTAGAAATCATCTTTGGTTATTGCAGATTCTGAAATCATAGAAGACATTTTCAATAGTTGGAAGATCTTTTGAATTGACATTTTAATCCTAATTGTTGGATGTCATTTTATTCCTAAACCATGAGATTCATTTGAATTTGACGTTTTAATACTCGCATAATGCTTAATACTCGCACTCTTCACATATAATTCATGAACAATTATATGTCACGTTTGTGAATAACAAACTCATCCGCAAATGGCAAACATTGTTCAACCATGAAAGGTTTCATTTCAGAATCCATTCGTGAGTCGAGAATCTATATAGACATTATAATCTTTAATAAACAAACGATTCTATAACTTCTTATTATGCATAAAATGTTCACGAGTTAATTACAAAAGTTGATTTTACATTTGCTAGTAGATTGATCATAGTTATAGCTGGAGTCATCTTGTTTGGAAATTGTTTTAAATGTTTCTGAATTGATGAAAAAGTGAATAGAGTATTGGAATTTAATCATCTTGTATAATAAAATTTATCTCTAGCTCATAATTCATTGATTTTACTAGAGAATCTTCAATTAAACTATTTAATTCTAATATTGAAGAATTCTAATATCTGATATCCTTTCTAATATCATGTTGTTAAACAAAATTAGAGTAGTTAATCTCTTAGAATTTAGAAATTAATCCAAATGAGATTGTTCCAGATTGATACACAAGAATATAACTATGGAATCAAAGTGGAAAGTCTTTTAAATGCGTTTTGAATTTTTCAATTTTTTTATTTCAGATCCATGAAATTTTAATTAAATATCTAGTCTTATTATCGAAGAATTATAATATTTCATATTCTTTCGAATATCAAAAGCTGATGTTATATAATTGACAGAATTAGAATAGTTGATCTTCTATAATTTAAAACTAGTACAAATGGATTCATAGTCTCAGGTTTCTAATGATCAAATTACATAATTTGAAAATACACTGAAATGGATATCATGGCTTTGGAATTGAAATGTATCTTTCAGATTTCAAAACAGTTTATAACGTGTCTTATTGTCCCTTACATTAGGATAATCCGAAAAAGATCTGGAATTAGGAAGATCTTTTTAGATCTTTTAGACAGTCTGAAACGCGTTTCATGTTCCTCCATGTTTCTGGATCTTATATTAGATCTTAATTCGAAAAAGGTCTTGCTATTCCACGAGGATTATTATTCTGTTAAAATACAAGATATCTCTTAGATTAATATAATTGAATTTTTATATATATATATAGTAATTTTTTCAATTAAATTATTTCAATAGTATATTTCTTTAATTTTCATTTTTTCTAATTGCTGAATATATAAATGCAAAATGATTTAAAAGTTAAATTTATTTTTGTGAAATTAATACAAATGTATTCAATATTATAAATAAATATAGATACACAAAAAAAAATATTAACTCAATTGTATGTGCTGGATAAAAAAAATAATACACACATAATAAACTAAGATAACAGCAAAATCTCAGAGAAGTATAAATTAAAATCAAATTTTTGATTCATCAAATTGATCATTATTTTATTTATTTATTTATTTGGTAAATTTTATGGGCATTTTATTTAATAATTTTTTTCTGCTTAAAATATTTGTCAAAAAAATATATTGTAAATAACAACTTTTATAACACTTCCAAAGATCTTTTATTTCAAGCAAAAAATTATGCCTATCTTTCAAACTTTTGAACAGTAATATATATGAATCCATAAATTTATTCCGTGTATCATACTGCTTTTCACTGCAGAAATAATCATATCGAAAAAGTTTCGAAGTTTAAAATTATTTCTTGGAAAAGTGTCCCGAATCCGAGTTCTTTTCTATCGAGTGTTTTAATATATGCGTCGACTCTTATTGATCCAAATATAAAAGTATCAAGCTTTAAATGTCTTCTGTTATATTTATCGAATTGTAATATGTTTTTTTCTAAATCCTCTTGAAACATAAAAAAACGTGTGCATCGAATTTTATGAAACCATAATCTTCAACTTCATCTTAAATTAATAATGTATGAAAATATTAATATAAAGGGATTCCAAAGCTTATGAATATTACAGATTCAATATTATAATATTGAAGACCTTTATTATTTTCAGTCTTTACTGGCTTAAATTTGATTTTATTATCTTTGCACTTAGTCTTTAAATAGATTATTATAATACTATGTAGTTTTAGTTTTTTTTTTAAATCTCATGTGCAAATTGTTTGTGTTTGTAATTTGTAGTGTAAGAAAGTTTTTAAATTATTGTACTTTTTTATCATTACATTTTTATTGTTTTTAATTCCTTTTTTTTAAATATTTATAATTATTATGAGAGAAAAGTATTAATGAGAATGGATTATTATTAAGAATATTTATTAAAAATTATATAATTATACAATTTTATGAAGTTTTTCTTCTAATCATTTGTAATTATAACTTTAATGTAATGATTTATTTTTTTATAATGATTCCAATTTTAGTTAAGATCAAAGATTCATAATTTATAATATAAATTTTATTATCAATAAAATTCGAAATTAATGTAAAATTAGACCTGAGATATAATAACGAAACATCTAAAGCGACAGAATAATTAATGCAAGATAATTAATTTAAATTAATTAATTACATACACGTAAATACATATACGTTTAATCTAACTATTTAATTACAATTAAATTTCATTATTGCAATGCAATGTTTATCTTGCTGAGTTCAATGAAATTTTTTTACGATTCATTGGCCACAGATTAAAATTACAATTATAATTTAACATTTCGTTAATGAATATGAATTTTCTCGATTATTTCTATTAAAATTGATTTTTAATACAAAAATTTTTAAATAACGTAAATAATTAATTCTAATTTAATAACAAATTTAAAATTTTTTCTCTTGGAATATCTTATGATTTCTAGAATAAATTTTATTTAAAGGATTATTGAGACAAAAATTGTGAATAAAAATAACGCCCTAAAAAAGAATAAAAATAATATAAAAATTTAGTTGCGAAAAAAGCATGGATGAGAATTGAGATTTCAATGGAATTTTATTCTACGTTACTTATAGACTTGTATATGTGTGTATGTATGTATGTGTATATATATATATACACACACATATATATGTAAATACGATATACTGCATATCAAAAAGCCTGCAACTCTGAAAGCAATCCTTTAAAACTTTAGAAAAATGTAGAACTTTATATATGCATGGTAAAGCGATATAAAATTATATTATTTTTTTGATAAGACATGAGAAATTAAAATAAAATCGACGACATGAAATATGAAAATAATTAACTTGGAATATTTTTAAATTTTATTTCAATATCATTTACTATTTATTATATTATTTCATCAATCATGAATTCAATCTTCAATTTAACTGCAAACTTTACATAAAAAAAAAGAAAATACAATTCTTTAATCATACTTCTAACAATTCTTTTACCGTAATTCATTTTGCTTAATTTTTCATTCCAATATTCGATTTTCTAACTTTTAAGAAAATTTTATGTAAAAATATATAAAAAAAAAATTCAGTTTTTGGATGATAACATAAACAATAATAATGAATAAAATCCTTAAACATCGATATTCTTCATAAAAAATATAAAATCATTTAACAATGCCAACAATCTTTCAAAGCTATAAACCTAACCTCAATTTTGCAATGTCATATATAAGAATTAAAAGAATTTTCATTTCTAGACTTTCCGATTACGATATCTTGAAACCTAAATACTTTATATTCCATCTACAAATTTCATATAAGAAATAAAAAAAAATACAAATCCTTAAATATACTTTTATAAAGAAATCTTATTCCTTAATAATTCCACAAACCTTACATTCAATTTTTCGATTACAAATTCCTCAAAAAAATAAATAACTGAATAAAAAAAAAGAGAAAAAGAAAAAATTCACCTTTTTGATTCTTTCGTTGTAAAATAATCACGCGGTGTCTGAACGAATTGAAAGCCGGCGAATAGCACACGCGTCAATCACCATCGTTGATCGCTCCTTGGCCGTAAGCTCGAGAGAGCAGCGATGCCAGTCGGGCTGCGAGCTTCGACCGCGAAGCTCGCCCCTCCTCGCAGGTGTGACAGTCTGTGTTCATGCCTCGACCCGTGGTAATCGCGCGTTCACCTCGATGGACCGCGGGAGAAAAGAGAACGACCTGCACTCTAAGCCGACTTTATATGGCAACAAACGCCTTCTTGGTAATCTGTCTTTTGGAAGAAAGAAGATAAATAAAGGATAATCCGTGGATTTTATCGCAATTTTTGTTACATTTGATCTTTGTTGAATGCTTGTGCATTATGTTAGTCGCGTAGTATAAATATGTCATAGGAACAAGTTTCATTGAATGGTGAGGATTAAGATGGGAATTTTGAATATTTTGAGGAATAATTTCGATTTGTTTTATAAATTAGTTATGTGAATTTAATAATTGTGTGGTGATTCTTTATTTTGTTTTTTTTTTTTTTTTTTTGTTAGATAGAGATTATTTGTTAGGTTAAGTTTTACCGAATAATGATAATTGAAGAATAAATATGGTTTTCATTCGAATTTTGAATTGTTAACAAGCAAAATTGTTCCATTGTGACATTTAAAAATTAAATCTTGTTCAATAAACAATTATAATAGTGATACTTTCTAATTTTTCTTTTAGATGTTTTTATCTTTCAATCGAATTATAACACTTTTATTTTATTTTGTTGTTATTTCTCAATTAAGGATAATTTTCACCAAGTTGATTGAAATTTACATTTCAATTATTGTTTACTTTACTAAAATTTCATTATTATTCAAAATGTTCATTAATGTTTTCTTCAGTAATTTGATTTATTAATTTATCATTAAATATATTTCTTTTCAAATGAAATTTAATTAGTTACAGTACAATCGAAATTTATATATTTATCCAGACAGAGAAAATACTAAATTTAATCGCACATTGAAAATATTCAAGTCAGTATTTTCAAATGTAAACATCAAGTTGTGTGAAACACGAATCTCTCCCTCGTTGATAATGAAGTAAAATGGAGGGAGAGCACATGGCGTACGAAATTTATTTAAAATTCAATTTTCCTGGAAAATTTCATATATGAAACGCGAACGTGCCCAAGAAGTGTGCAAATAACTTAGCGGTTTCGAAAATATAGAAGTTCGACGTGGAAAATTATATTACCTGTATTCAGATCAACTATTTCTCCGATAAATATTATTTTTACTTATACGTGACAATTAAAGTAAATTCGCTAATTCGATGAATTAATAAAAAAAAAAAGATAAAAATAAAAATACCGATTTTAATCAAATAAATTTATACGAGCGAATTAATGGATAATAAATATGTTTTTTATGATATTAAAATATCGCTGTAAAGCTTGATTAAAAGCTTTTGTTGAATAATTGAAAAAATTAATTTTATTCTTTTTTATTTTATTCTTTGAAAATTACTAAAAATTATTATTCTGATATTTGGATATTATAATTATGGATTTATTAATATTTTCTTTCTTTTTAAATTTTATTAAAAGTTTGGAAATAGTAAAGAATTATAATAAATAAAAAATATTATATTAACATTACATAAGTTTTTATTAAAATTGATGGATCTGAATTTAGAAAAATTCCAGTCTTAACAAAAGAGAAAATTCAACTAATTATGGTTAATTATTATTTCAAACAAGCAAATATTTATAAATTATCTAATAATTAAATAATTTACATTTATCAAATTATTATTTATTATATTAAAATACTTTTACAATCATCAAGGATATCATAAAATTCATAACCTAAAAAATTTCATTTACAGTTTTTAAAAAATAAATTTACCAAGAATAGATTTTCCAATAAAAACACATATATAATAAACTTTTTTTTTATTCCTTACGATTTGTTGAATTTTTCATTATAAATGTAGTTAAATGCAAAAAAATGCATTAACTGTATCAGTATTCAAAAGAGATGCAATAATCGAAGTAAAATTCCATCGTTAATTATTAAATTAAAAAATCGACATAAAAGTTGATAATGAAAAAAAAAATGAAAAAGAAAAAATTTAATCGAACTCTTTTGTGGCAAAGAAACGAGTTTTGCGTAGACATCTAAACGAAATGAGTTTGAAAGGAAATTATCCGTGTCGTGCTCGAAGTTTAAACTTGGATAAAAATAAATTTAAATAAAATTCTCTCATAAAAAAAATCGCTTTAGCGATTGGAAAAAACATACTTACCCGTTTAAATAATCGATTATCGTTCAATTGGCTATCGTTGTTTAATCAAAAGTCGTGAATATTTCTCATGAGAATAAAGTAAACGTCGATTATCCGCCGTTTCAAACGAAAAATTAAACGTTCTGAATTGAGATGTGAAAGCAATATCGAGAGGCATATATAATTATATACCAATGTTGCGTGCAACGACATCTATATGTGATAAATCTAATGAAAAGGAATCTATGTGAACAATACAGTTATTTGTAATGGCGGTAAATTTGATTTTTAAAATATTGCACTGCTAATTATATTGTTTTTTCTCTTGTTTTTTTTTTATTTTAAATAATTATTAGATATTTTGATATTTTGATAATCTTTCACTTGATAATTTTCTAAGGTATAAAAATTAGAATTATAATTTTACATTATAAATAATATTAAAGATAAATTTAGAAAAATTTAATTCATATTATATATATTTATTTACACAATTTATATTTTATTTAGAATATTTTCTATAAAGTAGAAAGTGGTGTATATCAGTTCTCAAGGCAATCAATCTCAAATTTCTGGAGGCTTTAAATTGATATCTAAATTTAGACCATCGAAATCGCCTAGAAAAGCAATATCAAATTCAAGAGAAAATGGTAACTAGTAAAAACTGTATATTTTCAGTAATCAAAAATTAGAAATATATCAGTTAATCGTGAATAATATTTAATTTTTATTATATTTTGTAAAATAAAATATATAAATATTTTTTAAAAAATTATAAGAAGGATTGAATTATGTTAGAAAATGATATTAAAAATTTACTTCAAGTTAGGTTAGGTTATTTACGTTACACGTGTAAAGGATAAATAAATTATAAAAAAAAAAAGATAAAATCATTTTTGAAAAAGTGGTGTAACATTAATATTTCTCTAGTTAAAAATTTAGATAACTATTAATTGTTTGAAAAAGTTATGGAATAAAGATATTCTGAACATCTTTGTTCCCTTTAAAATGAAACTTATTCCTACGAAGAAACTTTCGTAACGATAATAGAATTTCATCGCCCCGCTTATACAGATTATCATGGAACAGTGGATAATGCTTCGAGAGCGGCAAAAATATAATTATTTCGACATCAACGTGTTACAGGGGCTTGTATTGGTCAGAGATCTTTCGAAACTTTAAAAGCTGTCTTAAATCCTTCTGTCATTTTTTTCTTTAACAACAATAATAATAATAACAATAATTAAAAGTTGTCGCAGAAATTTATTCCCGTTTCATATTTAAAAATCTAATTTTTCTCGAACGTTAAATTTTATCGCCAGGAAATTATTATGTTTTCATTCAGAGATTTATTATTTCCATTTTTTTTTTATATATTTGCTAAATCATATTTTTTAATTCTAATATTCCCATCAAAAGTCAAAATAAATCGAATTTCATTTTTATTTTTCCACCAATGCATCGTTAACGGTGAGAAAAATTTTTTTTTTTTTTTACTAAAAATATTGGGTAAAAATAATGGGGTAAATGGATAAAATCACCATATCATTTAATGAAAAATCTTGAATATTATAATAAGTGACCGACAAGACGAATTTATTATTCCGATCACCGATTAAATCTGATTTTTAACATTCAAAAGGAGGAAAAGGGGGGAGGAGAAGAATCTTTGTACGTCACACGTAAAAATATTCGCCTCATTCATGAATAATAAATTTCAACGGAAAAGTTCCAAGGTGGATGAAAAATAATCCAGAGTCGATTTCGATATCAGTTGAAAAATATCTGGCTTTTTATATTCACTTTTATCGAATTATCATACATCCCTCTCGTCGTCGAATTTTTATAACTTCATAAAATTTTGATATACTTTAAACGTTAGAATGATAACTAGATTCAAACAAATATTTTCTTTCATTGCAAATTTCAATTTATCGTGATATTTTGTTGTGAATAAAAATAGCAATGAGGTAAATATGAGAAAATTTTTTTTAACAATGAATTAAATTTTACAATTAATATGCAAATGCAATATAGAAAATATTGTGAACCAATCATGTTTAAAGCTAATTATGAATTATGAGGGAAGATTACAAATTATTTATATATATATATCCATATTCATTTGCTTATTAATGAATTGCAATATTGTCAATGTACATTATTTTACTAATAAATAATTTGCTTGTAATTATTCTGCTCAATTATGGAGAAAAGCAAATATTTACATAATATAATTAATCAATTATAATATAATTTGAAGAGACAATTAAAAATTCATTTTGTCAATCTCCTTTTTATAATTACTTTATAACGTTCTTCTTCATTCATTTGTCATTCAATTTTTCCAAATAATTGATAATAAAATCTTAGAATCTACTTTTATATCCAAGAGATATAAAACAACTTTAAAAATAATTTCTCGTAAAGGATGATTTTATAAACGATATTTAAATCTCGTATGTTAGATTTTGAAGATACGTATTGTACAAATGGTTCGTAGAACTCGATCTGGATTACTTGGAAAGGAGAGGAGGCGAGACAATAACTTGTGAAAACGCCGAAAGCGGATCGAAAGAGGAGGAAAGCCCCGCAGACACTCTGGATCGTGTCAAAGTTGTGTTTCTCGGTGCACCCAGGGTGGGAAAGTCCAGCATAATTAGGGTGAGCGATAATTTCGTTTAATCAAATCAAAATACATCATCGATATTGAACATTTCGAATATATATCTGAAATATTCCATATATTATTCATAAAATTAATCATCTTAATTTTGAAAGCAATTTCGAATTATAATTTCACGTCGATCGCAATTTCATTCTCTATCTTAAATTTAATTTTCTTATATTTCATTTTACGAATAAATAAAAATAACAATTTGTCGATAAAAATTGTAGAATTTTAATAAGTTACCTGAGAAATGCTGGGACTTCCTGAACATGTTATATATATATAT